ATCATGGAACTGTTGCAGCCTAGAAGACACAAATTTAACTAACACCAACTGTTTATTATTATAAATGATACAGCAATAGCCATGCACGTGAATCCGTCCACTTGTGCTGCATTTCTTCCTGCTTTAAGATGCACACTGGTCGTGGGATTGCTAGATGACAGGGTCGTTCCAATCGCCAGCTTTTTAAGCAAATGCTAGACTGCTTTCCATGGGGCTTGTGCCACTTGCCCTTCCCTCCAGCAGTGCCTAGGCCTGCGGGTCCCTGCACACCCTCGCCAGCCCTTGCTGTCTGCTGTCGCGTTGACTGTGGCTGCGCCGCAGGCGAGCGTCCCCTTGGCTCACAGCCTCGTCCTTCCGTCTGCACAGCCAGAACCCAACGGCAGACGAGGTCCTGTCCTGGGCACAGAACTTCGACAAGATGATGAAGGCGCCCGCAGGCCGGAACCTGTTCCGGGAGTTCCTGCGCACGGAGTACAGCGAGGAGAACCTGCTCTTCTGGCTCGCCTGCGAGGACCTGAAGAAAGAGCAGAACAAGAAGGTGATTGAGGAGAAGGCCAGGATCATCTATGAGGATTACATCTCCATTCTGTCCCCGAAAGAGGTAAGGTGCATGCGCGCTTGGACACCTGAGCCGCCCAGAAAGTGACTCCTGTCAACGCGGAGCAGACTTGGGATCAGAGGGTGTTGGTGACGCAGTGTCTAAAGCATCCCGTGCCAACCACAAGGGCGGCAGTTCGGAGCCACCCGCTGCTCCGCAGGGGAAGACGAGGCAGTCGGCTTCCAGAAAGACCTACAGCTTAGAACCCCCACGGGCAGCTCTGCCCTGGCCTCGGTGATAACCGGGCATCAGCATCCACTTGGAGGCAGAGACTCTTGTTTATGGGGCATGCACAGACACTTAAATCTTCACTGGGCACCTATTTCAGCTTCTGATTTGGGAATCCTCCCAGATTTCAGAATGACAAGTGTTTAAATGTCAAGTTTCCCCTCCATGAGAGAGCATTGGCCTCTGGCTGAAGCGGGAGGTCACCCATTTACTTTTCATTACTACCACTCAGATGTCTGTATAAACATACCTTTGGTGACTTGAACCAACGTGAGAAGGAATATTATTTTAAGGGGGCGTGTCTCGAGTTGGGGTGCCCGAGATCATGCATATGAGAAGCCCCCTGGCCCTCTGATTTTGAAGAACAAAGTGTCTGTGGCTCCCTGGGATCTTTGCTTTTGGAAACAGGGCCCTAGGAATTGCAGGCTTACCAAGCCTTCCACGGGCACTCTAGTTTGAAAATCTCTGCTATAGGAGCTCAAGGAACCCTTTAGCTCTACTGTTGGTTGTGCGTGTGGTGGAAGGGCCCTCTTGATGCAGCCTCCTCCCTGAAGGAGTCCGGGATTGCAGCGCAGCTTCTTGCCACTAGGTCACTAGAGCTCCCTAAGACAAAGGATGAGGATGTCTATTATTTTAGTGGAATCTGTAATCGTTTTCCAGTCACTCTGTAGCAGTTGTAAGGAGTCGCTTTACTCACCCGGAGGCAGCACCTCTCAGCTGCCTTGAGTCCACCAGCTGCTTCTAGCAGAAAGATGGGCAGTTTCCTCCGTGTGACTTCCTACCTCTAAAATCCCACCAAGGATCAGCTAGGAGTCGGTTACGGCTCCACAGCAATGAGTTTGAGCTTTGCATTTGCGTTTTCCAGGTATTGAAAGAATTAAATATGGTTTTCCATTGCCAGCCATCAAATAGCTTGGCCTAGGGAGCTCTGGTAGTTTAGTGGTAAGGAGCTGTGGTGCCAGCCCAAAGGCTCGTGGTTCAAATCCACCAGCTGCTCCAAGGGAGAAGGGTGAACAGTCTCCTCCCAGATGATTTACTGCCTCTTAAAACTCTCAGGAGGGTGAGCTATGGGCCAGTTCTAACTCGATGGTACATAAAACAAAACTTTAGCCTCGTGGCAAGAACTTGCACTGACAAGTTAGAGGCATGTGGTTCAAATCCACCAGATGCTCCATGGGAGAAGGATGGGCAGTCTCCTCCTGTGTGATTTACTGCCTCTGAAAACCCGCTGGAGGGTCAGCTATGGGTCAGTTCTAATTCAGTGGCACATAACAAAGAATTAGATTACTTCTGAGAAAATATTCTGTCAGTTGAGTCAATTGGTGAGAGTGGTTAATAGTGTGACCTGGTGGCCAGACCAGTGAGTGACAGGTGTGATGGAGTCCCCAGAGTGAGGGTGGTAGAACTGGTTTCTTGTCCAACACTCAATATGGCCCCATCTTCCCCTGGACTTCTTACCTTTAAACCTAGCAAACAAGTGTCTGGTTTAGCAATCTCTTCCCTTAAAATACTGTCACACCTTGTATTGTTGTTATGTGGTCTTAATTGGAATTGACTCATAGCTGACTCACCAGCAGGTTCTCAGAGACAGTTAATCACATGGGAGGAGATGGCCCATCCTTCTGCCAGAGATCATCTGGTGGATTCTAACCCTGTGCCTTTGGGTGAGTAGCGCAACTCCTTACCCGGTATTCCACCAGAGCTCCCTAGTGAGGTATGCATAAATAGGAGCTGATGTACAGTCTGGTGATAGAATTTTCATGTGTAGATAGAGTATTTCATCATGGTAATTCAATCTGATAATTTCTTAATAGCAAAAAAGATTAAATTGCAAGTTGTTGTTAGGTGCCGTTGACTTGGGGGTGATGCTTAAGGATCCTATAACAACAAATCTGAACCGTGTCCTGTCCTGTGCCGTCCTCAGAGTCCCTGACACACTGGGGCCATAGGTACTTATAATTACAGACAGAGTTCAATTCAAGAGGGCTAAGAGGTCCATTTTAAGTCTAAAACGGGAGGAAATAGCAGTTCTTTCAAGTCGATTTTTTAAAATATAATATTCTCAAGGGGAACACAGTAGAAATAATAAGAGGAATTTAAGACTAATGGATTCCAGTCTAGGGAGCTCTGGTGAGGTAGATCATTAGAAGCTGTGCTCTTAGCCCAAAGATGGTGCCTCTGGTGGTTCAAATCCACCAGCAGCTCTAGGGGAGAATGCTGGACAACCTCCTCCAAAATGATTCCCAGCTCTGACAGCTGGAGGGTCGATGACCAGCTCCTGACAACTGAGGGTCAGAGACCCAGCTCCTGACAGCTGGGGTGTCAACGACCCAGCTCCTGACAGCCGGGGGGGCTCAGCAACCCAGCTCCTGACAACTGAAGGTCAATGACCCAGATCCTGACAGCTGGGGTGTCAATGACCCACCTCCTGACAGCTGCGGGGTCAGCGACCCAGCTCCTGACAGCTGAGAGTCAAAGACCCAGATCCTGACAGCTGGGGGGGTCAGTGACCCAGCTATTGACAGATGGGGGGTCAGCGACCCAGCTCCTGACAGCTGAGAGTCAAAGACCCAGATCCTGACAGCTGGGGGGTCAGCGACCCAGCTCCTGACAGCTGCGGGGTCAGCGACCCAGCTCCTGACAGCTGGGAGGTCAATTATGAATTGGTTCCGACTTGAATGAAGTGAGCATTTTTTTTAAAATTGAGTATTAAGGGGAGGGGTGGGAAGGGAGAAAATTGCGGCAATGAATGAATGGAAATCCAAAACCTCCGTAATAAATAGATAGATAGATAGATAGATAGATAGACAGACAGACAGAGTATTAAAAAGGCAAACCTATCAGCAGAAGGAAATTGACTACAAATTCCGTTTAAAATCTTTTAGGAACTAAAAACAGTGTTAAACTACTGAAAGAAGAAATCACCATAAATCTAAATGGAATCAGCTATATTGAAAACTCAACCTTTTGACTCCATTAGGGGGCGCTGCTGGCTTGGTGCTAGCCACAAAGATAAGTGGTTCAAATCCACTAGCTGCTCTGTAGGAGAAAGGTGGGTAGTCTCCTCCCATGAGATTTACTGCCTCCAAAAGAGTGTTGGAGGGTCAGCTATGGGTCTATCTGACTCAGTGACACTCAGCAACAGCTTAACTCCACCATCAGCCAAACAACAGGCTTATAAAACAAACAGTAGTCACCCACTGAAGATGAAAAGGGCAGCATTTGCCTGCAGATGAAGCTAGGACAGAAGGATTAATGGACCAGATAGGAATAGGGAGAAATTGAGAAAAATGTGGTTACTTGTAGATATTGTAATTAATGTCTTAGAACAATATGTGTATGAATGCTTGCATAGAAAACCAATTTACCATATAAATTTTCATTCAGATCTCAAGAAAAAGAAATGAATAAAAATCATTTCAAAAACTCCTGAATGGTGGCCTAGTGGCAAGGAGCTGCAACTACAATCCCAGAGGCGCACGGTTCAAATCCACCAGATGCTCTGCTGGGGAAGGAGGGACAATCTCCTCCTGTCAGATCTGATTTGACGGTATACTCACAGAAAAATAATTTAAAAAAAATAAAAAAAAAAACCCACAACTCCTGAATGAATATCTGTTAAAAAAAAATCTACGTAAGCCAAGACATTGGTGAACAAAGTTTTTAGTGCAAATTCTAGTTTTGGGGGAGACAAATATATAATTGGGTTATGGAACTTTGAAAAGACCTCCTATTTTTAGGTAGCTCGATATTGTTGTTGTTGTTGTTATGTGCCGTCGAGTCGCCTGCGACTCACAGCGACCCTATGTACAACAGCCCTAAACTCTGCTCTGTCCTGTGCCAATCGCACTGTCTCTAACACTCCCATCCCAATTATCCCAGTCACTGAATCAATCCACCTCGTAGAGGGCCTTCCTCTCCTGCGCCGTCCCTCCACCCTCCCAAGCATGATGTCCCTCTCTAAGGACCGGTCTCTCCTCACTACATGTCCAAAGTAAGTTAGACGGAGCCTCAGAATCCTTGCCTCCAAGGAGCCACCCGGTTTAACCCTCTCCAGGACAAATCTATTTGTTTTCCTAGCAGTCCATGGAATTCTCAGTACTCTTCTCCAGCACCACAGCTCAAAGGCATCAGTTCTCCTTCTATCCTCCTTGGTCATTGTCCAACTCTCTGATGCATAACTGGTGATTGCGAAGACTATGGCCTGTATCAGACGCACCTTAGTCTCCAGAGAGACACCACTGCTCTTCAGCACTTTGGAGAGGTCCCTAACAGCAGACTTTGCCATGGCAATGCGCCTTTTAATTTCCTGGCTGCTGGTGCCAAGACTGTTGACTATGGAGCCAAGCAAACTAAAGCTGTGTACAATCTCAATCTCTTCACCATCCATCCTGATGCTGCCAATTGGTCCAGTGGTGAGAATCTTTGTCTTCTTGACATTGAGCCTCAATCCATATTGTAGGCTGCAGTCCTTGACACTCTGCAGCAGGTGCTTCAGGTCCTCCTCAGTTTCAGCAAGCAGGGTTGTGTCATCCGCATAACGCAGATTGTTATAAATCGTCCACCAATCCTGACCCCACATTTCTCCTCATAGAGCCAAGCCTCCCGGATAATCTGTTCTGCATATAGATTGAAAAGGTATGGAGATAGGATGCATCCCTGGCATACGCCCTTCCCAATTTTGAACTATGCAGTGTTCCCTTGCTCTGTTCTGACGACTGCCTCCTGGTCCAAGTATAAGTTTCGCATTAGAACGATCAAGTGTTCTGGGATTCCCATTCTTCTCAGAGTCAGCCACAGTTTTTTATGATCTACACAGTCAAATGCCTTTGCATAATCAACGAAACACAGATAGACATTCCTCTGGTATTCCCTGCTTTCAGCCAAGATCCATCTAACATCAGCTACAATATCTCTAGTACCACGACCCCTTCTGAAACCAGCCTGTTAGATGGGTAGCTCGATATACTCACTGAAATATCCCAAACCTGTAAGTGAAATTCCTTTTGAACACTAAAAAGCAGAGTGGCGTTCTTTAATGTCTCTCTGGTCCTCTTTCTTGTAGGTCAGTCTTGATTCTCGAGTCAGAGAGGTCATCAACCGAAACCTCCTGGATCCCAACCCGCACATGTATGAAGATGCCCAGCTCCAGATCTACACTCTAATGCACAGAGATTCCTTCCCGAGGTTCTTGAACTCTCAGATTTATAAATCACTTGTTGAAAGTACTGCTGCTGGCTCTGCTGCTGAGTCTTAATTTTCACTTAAATGGAAAAAAAAATAAAGTAAATCATCCTTTTGGAGGGCTGGATCGGAAAGTCAGAGTTCTGACCTGACAGAAGAAGCTGAGTTCTAGAACTACAGTCTAGCTTTCCTCGGGCGACTGTGAAAACAATACAACCATTATTACGGTCTTTGTCTCCATTTTTAGCCAGACTCTCTATTCATGCGTAAGCTGGACAAACAAAAACAAAACACGCCACTTAAAACAAATGAGTTGCCAAATTAGGTTTGTTTTATTTAGCCATCATTTTACTTGCAAGCAAGATGTACTTGTAGTCCTATGAACCTTCTCCTGGTTTACCACCAGACACTGCATGTGCAAAGTAAAATTGCTTCATTTATCACGTAGCTGTTGTACTCTCTAATCCAATGGCATACATGATATCTGTATTTAAGGACTTTTGTGCAATATGGTCTTCTTATTGCCAAAAACTGGCGATGGTTTGCATTTTTTTAACTTAAATCTAAGACAGAAAAAGCCAACTTTTAAAAATGTAACAATGGTATTCAACATACTATATCTATTTATCTATATACTGTGTTCAGTACACTGATTTTGCAGCCAATATTTCTGTACATGGAAAAGAAAAAGAGCTATTTATAACTTTTTTTGTTGTTGTTGGTAAATCCTTATGGGGAGAATTCCTCTGGTTGTTCACTGCCAAAACTGTGGCATTTTCATTATGGAAGAGTTTGCTCTGTAAAAACATGATCTGATAAAAAGCACAAAACCATTTGAAGTTAGTCTCTTCTCAATGACAAATCAATAGCATTGTTTTTAATTGTAATAGAAAAAATTGTGTGTGTGTGTATATATATATATATATATCAGATGTCTGAAACTGTACTTAATTTATTAAAGACTGGCTTTCCAGTTTTAAAATGGTTGTGTAAAGTTATGTACTTCAGCAAGAAGAAACTTTAATAAGCTTGATAACTTAGTTTTGGAATACAAAGAATTTAATAAAAGAATGCCGACATGTAGCATCCAGCATTTTGATGAATAGCATCCGTGCGATGACATATTTTCCTTAAAAGTGAAATCCAGTGAAAAGTAAAGTTTTTAACCAAGAAGGGTTTTGTAAGGGTTATGAAGAGTATGATTCTCTACTTCAGACCTTAACTGTTTTCACATACTATCATATGAATAGCTTATTTTATTATGAATGTTCAAACCAAACAATTCATTCTCATTCATAATTACAAGGCACTTTAGTGCGCAAGTCTTCTAGCTGGCATATTATTTTTCTAAGTTACTATTAAATCTTTAAGACAAAATTCTTTCCTGTTATTGGCATTTGAAAAAAGTGTCCTGTCATGTACCAAAAAATAATAACCAGTGTCACGTTTATATCACGTGTTACTTTTGAATTATCAGTCTCCCTGGAAAACTATGTTTTAAATCTTAAATTGAATGAATATAATCCCAAGTAACCTAAAATGGAAGTTTTAAAAATATTTATATCCACTGAGAACACTGGCCTTATATTAAGGATGATATTAAAATTACACGTTTTCTTTGTTTTTTTAACTACCTCTCATTTTTTTAATTTATTAAACATATTTTTAAATAAAACAAGTTTGCAATTTTCTTTTTAAACTTATTTTATTTGAAGGTTGACATCATAAGTTTCTTTTTCCATAAACAAACATATAAGGAATTGTTGTTTTTTAAGTGAATCTGATTTTCTAGTTTATATAGACTTCAGGAGACATGACTTAAAGGGCTATTATCTATTCCCTATGCAAATATATTAACTGTTGCAGTGTTTGACAAAATCAGATCTAAAAAAAAAGTATGCCGAGAAGAAAACAATTATGTTGTTTACAATGGTCTCGCTGACTCTCCTGCCATACTCAGCACTTTTAAATACATTATTTATGAAAATGTAGTTAAAATATGAGATAGAAAATATTTATAATAATCACTTTTAATAAATGCGTGTTTTGTCAGAAAAGTGTTATTGTGTTAAGACATATTTTGTTTATGTCAATTAGATATTTACTCTTTGGATATAGTTTGCAGTAATATGTTGAAAAAAAAATAGCTGTGAAGATGTTTACAAAAAGGTTTATTATTTTCCTAACAAGTGAGGAAACCCCTAAAAGAAATGTCACTTCTACTGTGAAGTTGTATTGTTCCTGGAGTTACTTCCTTCTTCTCTTGACTACAATTGAGTTTGTTATGCTACTACGATGTATACACACATACGGTGTAATATTAGACTTGTTTCTGTGTTTGCAGCACAATAAACCGGTGCATATGTCTAGAAAATATGTAATATACTCTAACTTACTGCATGCATATAGATCTTTTTAAACGTAGATGTTCTATTCTTGTTGTTACTGTCTATGATGGTGGCCTGCTAGCCATAAGTTATCTTTATAAGATACTTTGGACTTTTTGATGAGTTGTCTCTTGGACAATACCTTGAATATTTAAACCAAATGCAAAAAGATAAAGGTCTTTGTAGAGCACCCTCACCTCTAACGCAGGCGTCTGTGGAAGACAGATGGTGACATTGATATCTCCTTTGGAAATATGATTAGGAAGCTGAGGATGGTCTTGGAGTCGGTTTCCACATCTGATGACGGAAGCCGTGGTAGATGAGCATAAACTGTTTTGGGGAATGGGAATTGGTTTTATTTTCCTTAAAAATGCTTTTAATTTCTAATACATGGCTGTACCATTTGCCATTACTTTTTAAAGTGTGGCGTAATTTCCTCTTACAGAAATATCGTAAACAAAGAAAAGCACCTCAGCTGGGACATAGAGGAGCCCTGGTGATGTATGTAGTGGTTAAGTGGTCAGCCGCTAACCACGAACCCTAAATCCTTATTGCACACCCATCAGCTGCTCCAGGAGAGGAAGGTCCTGCAGTGGGCTTCCTGAAGGAGTTTCAGGCTTGACAACTCCGGAGCCATTCTGCTCTGTCCTATAGAGTCAGAATTGACAGGGAAGCAGTGGATTGTTTGGGTTTTAGTTATTTACCAACCAAGCCTGTGACAGTGATGTGCCAATCGTGGTAATGGGCACCCATGGTGGACAGTGTTGGCTGGAGCTTCCCGACTAAATCAAGCCTGGAAGCAGGAGCGGCATCCACTTCCAGAATGGCTTGCCTCCGGAAACTCTATGTAGGAACAGTGCTCAGGCTGTTCGTTCATAGGGTCGCTATGAGTCGTCTACGACTCGACGGCATCAAACAACAAGAACAACAACCAACCACTCCAAGAGCACAATATTTATTTTAGTAGAATTTGATTGTTTCTAGTGAGTAAATTACTCCTTGGGGAGAAATTAGCACTTTAGAAGGAGCACTTCCTGTTTTAGATTGCCAAAATATCTCTCTGTGCTGTCAGAATCCGTCAGTGCACCAGAAAGGGGTTAGTGCACTTCCTAAAGTGCCTAATTCAGATGTGTCTATAATGGAAAGAAAAGTAGAGAAGATAAATATATGTATATATGGATGAATGAATGAACTGGGAAGTCAGATTGTGGCAGAGATTGGTCCTGTATGTAGATTATATAATGAAGAAAAGGACTGTTCCCTTTATGCTAAGGTAGCATGTCGATGCTCTGACAGTGTGATAGGGCAGTTCTAAGCACAATTTGTGTACTGGCATATGAGTAAAAGCAAAACACAATTTTTATATCAAAGTTATGAAGTACAAATGTCAAGACCCTATTGTGGTCTTTTTTAAAAATATGAAAATGTGTACATAGGATGACCAGTTCTGATATTTGGTCATGGTGCATGGACTTTTTTTAGAATCTTATAATGCTGCTTAGGCTTTGACTTAACAGAATGAAATATAAATTGTATATTTACCAGATAGTTCCAGTTTGCAAAAAGGACTATATAAATAGGTAAATAATGTCTACTTATTAACTATACATTTTTTAATCCATTTACAGTGGTTTAAAAGAAATGTATGCTTAATTATGAGTTTATTTATTTTCCTTCCTTTAACTTATGCTGAAAAAGTAAGTCATAATTGTCATAAGTTACACTTGAAAAAAAAATATCTGATGTTGTGAGTGGTCGAAAATTTTAAAATGAGGGAGTTTAAATCTAATCAAGTAAGTAGGAAATCTTCTCTGTCACCAAAAATTTCCTAGAGACATGTAAACAATCTGAAGATAGAATTGTCTCGAATGTGAACACTTTGATCTTGATGCATTGGCAAATTATTTTGAAAGTTAATAAAGATACTTCTAAAAATATTTGGCAATGTATTTATAATTGGTGATTTATGATCTTCATTTTCAGAGTGTATTTTGCAGACACTTATGTTTGATTTTTTCCCCCTGTTGTTTTAAAACTTCTAATCAACAGAAACTATTTGTTCTGAGAAAATCACACTATTTGAGCTGTCTGAATTTTAGCAATCCCTCACTTGCTAAAGTTGCAAACACTTATCAATAAAAATGATACCAAAAAAACTGGTTTCCGTTCTTTCCTGCCACACCTTTAGTACAAACGCTCCTGAAACATACACCAGTTTAGAATGTATCTTATTTAGTCCAAACACCATCTTTCATTCCGGAGTATTTTAGACATGTCAGTGTCCCAGACAGAGTACAGTCCCTCCAGATCAATGTCTCATCTTTTCAGATTAATTCAAGGAAAAACAAACAAACAAAAAAATTCTATTCTAAAGCATCACTCCAAGAGTAAAAGTACCACCATGTTTTCTGGCAACAGCACTTCTGAGGATTTGTTTTCTTCCTGTGACAAAAACGCTCAGATGCGTGGGGAAAGGCAAACTATGATGGCAACCACCGAATAGAATGTCTCCTAAACCCATCCTTTGTTCAACCCCTGAAATTCGCCCATCCCTCCTGAGGTCTTGCACTGTCTTCTCTCTGGTTCAGGAATGTCAGCGTTTTAGAATGCTTGACTTTGATTGAACTGATGACATTGCACCCTAGTTTTTAAATACAGAGTTACAAATACATATTTCAAAACAATG